TACTCGAAGGTTGGTGGCAATTGCTATTAGGTTGGAGGCCATTGCTATTAGGTTGGAGGCCATCGCTATGAGGTTGGAGGCCATCGCTATTGGGCTGAAGGCCATCGCTATTTGGTTCGAGGTCATTGCTATTAGGTTGGAGGTCATTGCTATTAGGTCGGAGGCCATCTCTATTGGGTTGGAGGCCATCGCTATTAGGATGGAGGCCATCGCCATTAGGTTGCAGGCCATTGCTATTAGGTTGGAGGCCATCACTACTAGGTTGGAGGCCATCGCTATTGGATGCTATTAGGATGGTGGCCATCCCTTTAGGTTGGAGGCCATTGCTATTAGGTTGGAGGCCATCACTACTAGGTTGGAGGCCATCGCTATTGGATGCTATTAGGATGGTGGCCATCCCTTTAGGTTGGAGGCCATCGCTATTAGGTTGGAGGCCATCCCTTTTAGGTTGGGGGCCATCGCTATTAGGTTGGAGGCCATCCCTTTTAGGTTGGAGGCCATCTCCATAAGGTGGGAGGCCATCCCTTATAGGTTGATGGCCATCGCTATTAGGTTGGAAGCCATCGGATTAGGATGTTTTAGATATGTTTTTGTGACATGGGTGACATCTTGATTCTTCTGCTTTAGGTTCGAGTCGTTCTGCAGGACACTGCTTACAGGGAGGTGCCTCGGGAGGTGCCTCCAGGCCGAACCTTCTGGCCTTTCTTGGTGGACGGAACATGTAAAGCATGTTAGCAACGAACGGGTATGGATGAATTCGATTGATGTACAATGATTGGGAGCATGATGGAATCCAGTTTACTGCTGACATTCTATCAGTGCATTTCTTTGTTTTTTTTGCTTTGCAGGGGAAGTTGGAAACTTGGCAGAAGAATATTCGCTTGCAGAGTGTGAGAAGGTGCAAAGAGTCCGCGCGCACCACTTATTTTCGGTAGAGCGTTCTGCACCTGTGAACACACGCAACAGGTTTAATTTAGGTACTTGTACCCTGTGCTAAGGAGTTCGTCTCCGCATGTCACTTTTGTAGAGTTCTGTGTTTAAGTAGGTCTGGTGTGCACGTAACCAGACGAAAACGGCGACAAAAAGATAAAATGCAAGACGATCTAAAAGTATATTATGTTGCTTCAATGGAGCGTTAGCTGCTAGAGCCCATATAACGGCAAAAGTGAAAACTATGCACAAGATATCGTGCGTTCACAGTTTCAAAGGTGAGGTGTTGAGATGTGTTAAGGTGTAAAGGGATGCTCGGCTGCCAAATCCAAGGAGAGCTCTACATTGCAGGACCAATGGTTGGGCACTTCTTGCCGAACGAAGGATACATTGTATCTTCTAGTTTCTAGAAAGCTTTATTGTTACTAGTGGCGATGGCCTCCACCTAGTAGCTTCTAGCTACTAGTAGCTTCTTGCTCCTAGTAGTAAGGCCAGGAGGTACTAGTAGCGTCCTTGCTGCTAGTAGCGATGCCCTTTGTTACTAGTAGCTTCTTTCGATGAATCCTTTTGACCAAACTTTAGAAATCCGACAGTGTTTTTCGCTTGTCGAGGTCAGCGCCATCGGATATGTGAAGACATCTCTGAACGAAGGCAGAAAAGATACAATATTGTTTCATATTGTTTCCATTTGTAGCATTGTCGTGTCGAAACGGAAACCGTGATAAACCAATGTTTCGACACATGTGTTCCTCTCCACATCGTGTGCGTTGGATGTGGAGTTTCAGAGGTTGAAAGCCACTGATGATTCAGGTGCATTTGTCGAACTTCCTGTGGGTGCTGAGGGCTCCCCTGTTCGTCACTATAGGCGGGGCTGAAAAAGGTCGATGTTGAATATCGTTCTAAAGGACTGGAGGACTGGCTGAGCTATGCTGAGCTCAAGCTGCGTCCTTCAACCTCCCATTCTTGGTTGCGATAGTGTTCTTGTGTGGAGGACCCGGGACTTGGCCCGGTTTAGAGCGGATGGTACCTTAGAATATTGTGGCCGGGCAGATGGCTTCGCCAAGGCGCACTGCAGACATCGTGATTTGCTGCATTTGGGTTGTATCACAATGTTTGATCACATGGTTGTGGAATTGTTGAAAAAACTGGCGTGGCACTGCTTTTCAATCGAAGTGTCAACGATGGATCAAATAGGTTGGCGGCAAGTGGCTCGACCTAGCCGCAGTTGTGTGCTCCTCAGGGTCGTATTGGAAAACGAAGAATGACACAAACGAGATCAAACGAGTTAGAAAAAACTCTCAAAAAGGTGCCCTTTTTTCGGATGTGTTTGTTGCCTTTAATTAGAGTTTGTAGAACTTTATTTAAAGAAGGCTGTTAATGCTTTTATATATTTGTCAAGGAGCGGAGCTTGCAATCCGCTGGCTGCCGTGAAGCATCACTTCTTTGGGATGAAAAGGCTAAGGTGGGGCGATGTGATGGCCTCTTGTCACATCGAAAAGAGGACGAAATGAATGGACGAGTCTGGAAGCTCTTAAAGGTGTCTTCTGGTTCTACGTGGCAAGACTCGCTTTTGGAAGAAAGGAAAAAGGATGGGGCAGCATCGAGAGATGACGTGTAATGAGGCTGATCAGTCATCTCAGATTTCGTAGGCCTCAGTGAGGCTCAGTGAGTCCGGCATCGATCATTTGATTCCTGTTCCTTTGAACCGCCAGGTGCGTCATGCCTGTGTGGTGCCTGAAAGCTCTCAGCCGCTAGCAGCTTTGGCCACCAAGCTTCAGGCAGAGACAGAGGGGCGAGACACTTCAGCTTGAGCATCTCAATTCAGTTTAATTTACTTTGTTTGAGATGTTAGAAAGTGGACAACAAGAGTGAACAAAGCTATCAAGAAAGGGTAACAAATTGAATCCTTATGCAAAGATCTTTGGCTTGTTGATGAGGCCCTACTTCCACCTCAAACTCGCTGGAGACTCAAGCAAAAGAGTAAGATGATGAAGTGACTTATTGGTGGGGTGGAATTTGCAAAAAAACGAGGGGGCCAAACCCATGGCTGAATGGAATCTCATACGAGTTGCTCAGTGTCAAAGCCAATGCGGTGTGGTGACATGACCTTGAGGTCTTCACGTGCTCAAGCAATTGCCAAAGAGCCTCGCTGAAGTTTCATGTCACACTGGATTGCTTTGTCTTGTGCAGTTCTGAAGCAAAATTAACGGCGGCAGGTATTCATGTTGAGGGTTGGATGCTCGGCTTGTCCGCAGACACTTGGCTCTTGCCAGCCGATGGAATGGAGAAGACGGGAATGGAAGAGACCGGCAGAGAATGCGGAAGGAAAGATGGAGTTGCTCTCGAGAAATCAGGCGCAAACATTGCAGATTGATTTGGTGCTACAAAGTGCAGTCATTAGCTCTTGTGCCAAAAGCACAGACTGGAACCAGGCCGGACTGTGATTTGTCGCTTCAACACGCAGAGCAACACCACAAGAGAACACCGAGTTGTCAGGGAAGTTATCGGGAGAATTTGATCGATCTTGCTATTTTTGCTTTGCTTTCGTCATGCTGTGTTTGACTCAGTTGACTCCCAGTGTACTCCCTGAGGCCCTGGCCCTTTTTGCCCTTCTACTTGAAACAGAAGTGGAATTGGACATAGTTTCATATGGTGCGGCAATCAACGCCTGTGCCAGAGGAAATCAATGGTATCAAGCTCTTCTGCTTCTTGCCGCGTCTGGGCACCAGAAAGTGAAGATGTGATGATAGCTTGCCCTTTGCTCCTAGTAGCTTCTTGCTCCTAGTAGTACGGCCAGGAGTCCCTAGTAGCGTTCTTGCTCCTAGTAGCGATGCCCTTTGCTCCTAGTAGCTTCTTTCATAGAAAGGCAATTTACACACTGAATGCATGAGGATCTAAGCGAGAGAGCGCTGGAAGCAAACCTCATCACCTACAATTCTGCAATCAGTGCGTGTGAGAAAGCTGGAGAATGGCAGCAGGCGCTTGAATTGCTGAGCACTTTGCAGGAAATCCAGCAGGCCAGGACCCAGTGAGACCAAACCCAGTGAGCCGAATGAGCGTATTGAGTCTGACCACTCTTTCGGTTTTGCCATTTCTTTTGGGCATCGGCAAGGAGGATATCATAAGCTACAATTCTGCCATTAGCGCTTGTGAGATATGCTGGCCTAGGGCAATGCAACTATTTCATGAAGTGCAGTCAAGAAGCACAGCGGACTTTGGTAGATGTTTATTCTTTTGTTTGTAGGAGCAAGGACGCTACTAGGGGCTCCTGGCATCGCTACTAGGAGCAATTGGCTCGGTGTGTCCCGTTGGAGCCGAAGTGACGGTGTCCGTCCCAGGAAGGCTCCAAGCAAACCTCATCACTTTCAATTCGGTCATCAGTGCATGTGCCAAAGGTGCGGATTCTTGGTCCCTTTATGCGCTGCATTTTGGTGAAAACATAAATAGTATATATATATATAAATCTGAACATAATAACTCTTCTTTTGTTTGGAACTTACTGTTTACAAGGGATTAGCTGTGTACCCCTTGTCCTTTGCGCCCATGAGACTGGAAGTTGGTGTTCGCACGGAGTCCCTGGAGACTGCGCCAGAACTCTGCCCATGGCACCACAAGCAAGTGAGGACCCAAAAGATCAAACGTGCCAAGGAGTGGCGGAAGGCCTTGGAGTTGACAGAGGAGCTCGATGCAAAGCGCTTGGAAATTGACGTGATCTCCTACAACTCAGCCATCACTGCATGTGAAAGGGCACAAACATGGGAGCCCTGGCCACTAGTTATTGTTTGACTCACATCCATTCTCCATGTTTCTAGAGTCAGATGTAAACCCAGGCACCGGCCATGCAACTGTTCGAAGATCTCTACTTGAAAAGACTCATGCCGACGATGATCACATACAATGCAGTCATTGGCATTGGCTCTTGCGCCTTTGCAATGTGAGACGGGTGAACCAATGTAGGACCCAGAGTACGGTGAGTACTGAGTAAGAAAATAATAGCCATGGCCTCCAACCTAGAAGCAATGGCCTCCAACCTAGTAGTGATGGCCTCCAACCTAGTAGCGATGGCCTCCAACCTAGTAGCGATGGCCTCCAACCTAAGAGCGATGGCCTCCAACCTAAGAGCGATGACCTCCAACCAGTGGCCTCCAACCTAAGAGCGATGGCCTCCAACCTAATAGCAATGACCTCCAACCTAGTACTGTAGCGCTGCTCCAGCCCAGTAGCGATGGCCTCCAGCCTCCAACCTGCGAGCGATGGCCTCCAACCTAAGAGCAAGGTGAGTATGGGAAAGTCCTTTCTCGAGTTCTTGCTTGAGTTAGGTGGAGAAAGCGAGAACTTCATACAAGAGGCCCAGGGCAGGAGGCTCTCACCAACCGTTATCACCTACAGCTCAGCAATTAGTGCCTGTGAAAAGACTGGGGAATGGCAACAGGCAGGGAGCCCATACAGCCTAAGCAAAAGGTGCTTCAGCTATTTTCAGCTTTGGTTCGCATTTCTTCATCTCGGGTTCTCTATGTTGAGCCTTGATCGTTTCGTCATGTTTTGATGCTTTTCAACTGCGCTCCTGAAGGCGCTTGTATTGCTCCTGAATTCACGTCTGCAGCAGCTTTGCAATATCATCACCTTCAGCTCAGCGATCAGTGTTTGTGAGACTGTTGGAGATTGGTGGACACTTGCAGCTTATGAAGCCGATTCAAGCAACAGATTTGTTCACCAAAAAACACAAAAAAAATTAATTACATATAGACTGAATGAACAAAAGAGAGGGATCCTGCACTTCAAACAAGGATGTCGTTGCTGCTGATGCAAACACTTAAAGAAGATGAAGTGGAAGCCCATGCCGCTTGCTCCAGGTTAGAAGTTAAATGAAACTTTTGATTCGGATCCTTTCACCTGCCCAGTGGCCTTCCTGCATTTTCAAAATGGACCTAAATTGGCCAATTGTTCATGGCTCGACTCAGGTCATCACCTATAATTCTTTGATCAGCGCCTGCAGCAAAGGAGACCAGTGGATCCTTGCGTCCCACTTCTTCGCCGAACTTGCCCACCGGTGCCGGGCCAAGACTTTGGCGAAGTTGCATGGATCTTCAACGGAATGTTGATGAATTTTGTGTGACCAAAAGATCAGATGTTTGTCGCATCGCGTGAGGCACTTTCAGCCAGATGTATTTTCTTACAGCTCTGCAATAAGTGCGTGTGAGAAGTCTGGAAAGTGGCAGGAGGAGAGAGCTTTCCACGCTGTGCTTGTCCCTTCAAGACGTGTGCTCCTTTCTTTTCGACCTTGCGGAGAGAGAGGAGTCAATACATGTCTTGCAGTTCATTTGCGCCAGGCCCTTCAGCTCCTCTCGTTCCTGTGGAACTCCCGCGGGGCAAATGTCGTGATTTGCAGCTCTGCCATCAGTGCATGTGGCAAGGGTCAGGAGAAGCGGAGCCTATAGCCGCTATAGCCTCTCTCCAAACGTCACGATGCGCGTAGTTTTTGGTTTCACATTGTGTCACATCGTTTTCACAATCTTATATTTTTATGTTGCTTGTTTTTGTTCTTTTATGTTTCCCCGGCTGTCCTCCTGTTGTCCTCCAGGTGTCCTCCTGCTGTCCTCTGGCAAGGCTTGTCCTCCTGCTGTCCTCCTCCCGTCCTCTAGCCACGCTTGCAAACGCTGTGTCCTCCTCTTGTTCCCCAAACATCCCCAAACAGTTTAAGAAAGAAATTGCATTCTTTTCCGCCTTGCCCGGGGCTTGTCCAGGATTGTCCAGGCCTTCTCGGCTGCGCGGCCCTTTTATCGCCGCCTTGGCCATGCCGCTTTCCCTTTCTCCACCGCCTTCTCCGGTTATGTTTTCGTGTGGCTATGAAACCAAGAGTGGCGCAGCGTTCCAAGTTTGATATCATCCTCAGAATGTTTCCCCAAACAGTTTCCTGTTGGGGTTCTCTCTTAGGAAACTGGCCACACTCTCTGGGCGGGCATCTAGACAAGACAAAAGAACAGGATCAATAAAACAATAAGAACATGATCAAACAGTAACAATCAGTAGGTCCCGTCCATTGGTCTGCTCCTTGTCCTGGTCCGCTGGCCTCGTGGTCAAACAAAACGATACCCGGTTTCCTTGGTCCTTGCGCCACTTTCTGAGTTCGATGAGGCAATGGGGGGCGTTTATTTTGTGGTGCCTTCTGAGTTTGATGGCTTTTGATGTTTGGTTCGCTCGGGGGGGAGGCACTGCACCCTCCCCCCAACCCCCTACGCAGCGCCACGAAATTTGCACTACTTTTGCCAATGCCCTGGCCTTACCACGACAGATTTTCTAAAGGTCACCCAGGCACCCATCGCTCGCACAAAATATAGCGCGTCCTTTCATCAGCCAGACGTACCTGCTGTCTCACCTGAAAACTTCCTACTTGGTCCCGCTTCTAGACTACAGCAGCGGTGCTGCCAGTCATATTGACATGGGCTAGGGTAGGCGCCGCAGTCCACTCAAGGGCGACTGCGACTGTCCGAGCCTTATGTGCGCACACCGCGCTTCACCCACACCAAATGCCAAACCCCCAGGTTGTTCTAGGGAGGTTTGGCTTCATCTGTTTTTGGTTTCCCTTCTATTTTCCTCTCGACAGGCTCCTGCTTTTCTGGCCGGTCGCGTCACTCCTTCCTTTCTTTTGCGCGCGCATTGGTCCGGCCCTTGGCGCGCAGGTTTTGACAAGGAGGCTAGGCTCACCGGTTGTCACGCGCACTTGGTTCCCTGTCATCGCAACCACATACCTTAGTCTTGCCCTGTCCCCTTTTCATGTCATTTCTTTTGTCCCTCTTGCGCGCGCATGTGCGCATTAGGGCGCTTCCCTTCGGGAGGTGTGTGTGTGTGTGTTTGTTTTCGCCTTGCAACCTGATGAAACGCGTCTCCCTCCGGGAGGCGTGTGTGCGCAAACCTTGGACGCAATTTACCCTTTGCTTTTCACTTTTGTTTGCAGCAGGAGCTCTGAGCACCCCTTGGCAAACTTAGTGTAACGGAGCTATGCCTTGGAGTGGGAAGCACGGATTGATCATCTGCAGTATTGCATTTTAACAAGCGCGGCGTTCTGCGAATAATAATTTCTCCTCTAAAGGGGCTGCTTCATGTGAATCTGAGGTCTGCAGACTTGTACGTGTTATGTGACCTCGGTCGCTCGACGACTCTTGAACCCTGAGCTTTGGAGTTAGAACTTTCGACTTTGATCTGGAGATCTTGAGGGTGGTCAGAGCGGTTTACAGTGGTTTTTCATTCAGGTTGGCGAGTGGCTAACCACATTCACTCAGAGCACAGCCTTCCTTGCGAGGGCTTTGCCCAGGCTGTCCGGGTCTGTCCTGCTTGTCAGCGTCGCCGGCCCTTTTGTCACCGCCTTGGCAACGCTCATGTTTTCGTGCGGCTATGCGACTGCAACTGTGGTGACCTGGGAATCCGGAATTATGGCTTGCAAACAATGCCATTCGAAAACAGGGCGGCGAAAAAAGTTAAACGCTCTGCAGGAGTGGCTTCGCGCACTGCAGCTCTTCCACTCTTTGGACGTTTGGTCCGTGGAAGCAAACCTCATCAGCTACAGCTCTGCTGTCAGCAGCTGCGAGGACAGAGAAGAGTACACGTTACAGACACCGACATCCCCTCACCAAAAGAAGATGCAAACTCTGTTCATCTCTTTTCCCATCTTTGTCTTGCAATATATTTAGGTTTCGGAAATTTGCGGCGTTGTGGCTCTCTATGGCTCGACGGTTTGTAAAAGAGAGCCACTCCTTTCCACCCAGAGGAGAGCCGCGCTTGGCGCGAGGCCTTGGAGCTTTTGGAAGAAATGCAACGAGCGACGATTTTCCCCGACGTTTCTTCGAGGAAAATGAGGCTTTGTTGGTCTACTAGAGGTTCTAGATGGTTCTAGCAACTAGCATAAAGTGTGTACATATGATGCGTGTGTATGTATATATATATATGTGTGTGTGTGCGCATATATATATATATATATCTGTCTCAAGTTTGGCAGGCCTAGGGTGGACAGTGGTCATTCCTGACACCATTTTGGCTCAAGTGCCTTGATGCGGGTTCTTAAAGTTTAGGAGTGACCTGAGGTGAGCCTAGATGCCAGAGAGGGTATGGTTGCTTTGTGGGTAATGTTCCTGTTTTGGTAGCTGCCCAAAACGTCAGACCAGCAACCGCATCCGAGGCCTTAGCACTTAGCATTTTGCACGGTGATCCAATAGTTCCCGGTGAGATTGTAGAAGGTACAAGTCAACAATCGTTTCTAGATGCTCGCATGAGAGGCCATGAATAGGTTGAAACAGAGCCACCTCAGCCTGCTGCAGAAGGACCATCCTATTCACCGGAATGACTCCCGCCTGTTCCGGAAGAGGATGATGACATCTGCTGCGTGTGGATGATGTGGAGGGCATAAGTGTTGCGATTAGGTTTTTCACATGGTGCCCAGTTGGAGCCCGAGCCAAACATCAACGCCCCCGCCACATACATGCAGTCGATGAATGGGCCCCCCTTCGAGATGGACGGCGCCGGAGGCGAAAAGGCGACATGTGCCTCTGGTGGTTGCGGTAGAAGGTTTTTGGTATAAGTTATAAGTAGTAGTGGATCCACCATCCACTGTCCACTACACGCAGCGGCTGGGGATTTATGCTGTCTCGCCAGGATCTGTTTCAGCAGATACCTTTGTCTTTGGCTTTGATGAATGGACATTCTGCCACCGTGGGCCTGCGACTCCTTGTCGGCAGAGAGGCAAACCGTGTAGCCAGATCGAGTTGCAAAAGATGCCTAGATGCATCGCCTACACGGCTATAAATATGCCTGAACAAAAGTACATAAGCCGCTTCCATATTATACCATATCAGCCTGAGTTGAAACTGAGAAGGCAGCACCATGAGCATCACGGGAAGTCAGATACACCTGCCTTTGAGCTTCCTTCGGCATCTCAGTGGATATGGCTGACACTTCACACACTCTACAAAGATGCTCAAACAAACATACATAAACCAGGTGTCTGATACGCCTGGTTTGTGGCTTCCCGTGATGCTCATGATGCTGCGTTGCTTTTCTTCAGTCCCTCATTACATATACATGGCGATCCAACAGTTGAACCTAGTGGGGTGACACGGTCCATTTGGATCATTCGGTGGTTCGATTTCGTAGACGTCTGAATTGCAGCAATTCTGAAACAAACTACTCCAACTTGTGATCACAACATCCAACTCCGAACGAGCTTCGAGGTCCAAACAGACCTCAAGGAGTTGTTGAAGACCTTTCAGCATTCCTATACTCATTTTCCCTCATTCCTAAGGATTCCTAAGCATGATTTTCACAGCTGAAGACTAAAGGTCACCGGCCAACTCATTTTTAGGTTCGTATACATTCCACCTCAGTTCATGCAGTTTCCATTTATTTATGCCGTTGCCGCCAATGCCACACCTTGTCAGGAGAGGCGTTGTGTGTACCGCATGGGCAGTGCGGACGCCCACGAGTGAAAGACAGGGTGTGCTTGTTTCTTCCTTAGTTTGGAGCCATCATTCGTCTGGTTTGGTCCGAAAAACACCCGGAGGGCTCAGCCCTTTTTGGAGACCTCATAGAGAAAGGCATCGCCTTTCGATGATAGCTCTTTGACTGAGTTGTCCAACATCTCCAACTCAGAAGTGGTTCAGTTCATTGGTGCCCAAGTTGTCAAAAAGGCCTCAGACGACCCTGGAGGCATTTCGAAGCTGCTTCGGCAAACAAAAAAGGGAATCGCTCCCGTCCGGTCATGGGTGTTCGGTGCGCGTGGGGCAACAAACCCAGGCCAGACCGGGAAGAAGGTGGTCTGCTGCGTGTCGCCGGGTGGACTTCAGGCCGGGATTCAGAAGAAGAGAGCAGCAAGGTTAACGGCAAGGTCTTCAAGTCAAACAGGGCCCAAGAGGCTGGAAGCGCTCATAGAAGGGTGGGCTGTTCAAGAGTGTAGGCCCAAAAACGACCCAAGGCAATGCAACAGGAATGCGGGACCCGGAGCTGACTTCGCAGTAAGTTTGCCAAACTGATAACAAGTTTGTCGTGCTTCCACTTCCTACTCAATCGGAAGGGCTGTGCCAAAACATCTACGCATGGCAACATGACCATGGCTCGAGACTCGAAGCTGACTACGAGAAGCATGTGTCGGCGAGTCCTTGTGTCAGAGGGCGGGCGTTTGATGCACGATATGCAAGATATGCCGGCGCAGAAAGCAGCCGAACACGGTATTAAATTTAATACTGTTTTCGTACGGAATTTGTAGCAGCACTTCTAGCAGCGTAGTGTGTTCCAGATCTTCTTTCGCAGCAGCATCAAAACGAGCTCATCCCATCGAAGCCATCAGGTCAGTAGACTCAGGCGGTTCAACGACTGTAACTTTTCTGTGACAAGTCTGAGCAGAGTTTTGCGCACGTCCGTGCTATGGCTGCAGCTCAGTTAGAGTCTTTCAAGGAGAGCACCGACATGTGTAGAGGCTAAGATCTGATATGAGCAACTGTCAAAACCTCCGATGAAGGCAGCAATATTACAGCGAAGATTAAGTTAAGCAAGAATGAGGGAAACCTTCAGGAACGATAAGTTTCACAGAAAAAAAAAGATAAAGTTTTTGTACACGTGGGAGCGGGGTGTAGCAGGGTTGTACATGTGGGGGTCACACAAAAGCCTGGTGACATGCTTCCCTGATTGACTGCATCCTTGTGGTTTATCATGAGCTGCTAAAATGACGTTCAGAAATCCGGGAATTTGTGATGGGTGTTTGAACGATAACAAAAACGATAACGTAGGGGACACTTCTGTGACTGTTTTCGTTTACTGAAGACCCCTGCTCACGTATAGGTCCCTTTGTAAGCCATGTGGGAACCACCAGGCAGCCAACCTAGAAGACCAGGAGTAGCAGTGTGAGCGGGGTGTAGCAGGAAGACCGATAGGGTTTTGGTAATGTGAGCGGGGTGTAGCAGTGCATGAAAGCATGACATGCACTGGATGTGACTTCAAGGACTTCTGTTGTTCGGTGTGTCCAAACCCTCAGGAACGATAAGGTCCACAAAAAAGAACGATAACATTGGGAAGAGTGCGCACAACAACACACAATAGGTTTTGACAGTCGCTCATATGTGAGTCCGTTTTTCGGTTTAGTGTTGGGTGCTCTCCGCTTCGCTGTGTCGCGAGGAGACATTCTTGAACGAGATCAGAGAGATTATGCGGGCGGAGCTGGAGACTTTCAAGGACATCACCGGACCAAGTCAGATTTACAGGTGTCGAGGCCAAGGTCGGGGCATGCGACCTTCTTCGGTTTGATGTTAGATGCTTTCCTCTGTCGCCGTGTCACGAGGAGAGCATCCTGCAAGAGCTTCGATGTGGCGCGGAGGCGCCATGCGCTCCGTGGACCGGGCAGAACGTTCATGGAGTGAAGAACCCTCACGGATTCAGGAGAATTGTCCCTACAGCTGTACTTTCTCTGCCCAGACTCTCTCTTCATCCCATTCAAGATGATGGTGAACCACACCAGTATGCATCATCAGCCGTCAGTTTGTCTCCAAAGGGCCAGGCTCAATGCTGCTAAGATCAGGCGACGGCCTATCGAAAGCCAGCACCATTCAGGCGCATCAGTTGCGCCAACAAAACTCAGATGGAATACTCTAGAGTCTAGAGCAAAACTTTGGACAGCCTGCCATGGATGTCTGAAAGACAGTCCAACAGACAGGAGGGCAGTTGCTGCGCTTCGAGATGGGACACTAAGCTGTTTTTTCTCTCGCGATCAAAGTGTATTTTCTATCCCTACATAGTCAAGTTGCTACAACCTGACTCTCCAAAAACTCCGGCTCGTCCGACTCGTGCACAGGATACCCACGATGCTGTCGACAGTTGCGCCGCAGGCGTGGCAACCGAAGTTGACGTTTCCTTACGTCTCCAGCTTTGGAATACATTGACTGGGATCGTGGTAGATACAACCATAAGTACAAAGACACCCGCCACCAGGTTGGATAGAGCCATGTCTATAGATAGAAACATGATGAAACCTGCGCAGTTTGATACCTTTTTCCTCAAGTCTCCGTCGTGACGACTTTACACCAGTTCTTGCAACGTATATATGTGCAGAGGAGTCACACGTGCGCAGTCGTTTGGGTCCTTTTCTTTGTACTGATGAGGCTTTGAGTTGCAGCATGCCTTGGAGCAGAAAGAGCGAGCTGTGCAAGCGGAGCAGTATGAGGAGGCGTGTTCCACGGTCTCGTAGACTGAAGCTGTTTCATCCTTGACGCTCAAATGCCTCGGTGATATGCTCCAACGCCCTCCTTTCCTCGTTCTGTGTGCTGCATTCGTCTCGCCGTCGTCTGTTGTAACGTCGCTGCTTCGCCACCGTGCCGATGCGTTGCGCCGATGCGTTGCTAGCGTGAAGCTCAGAGGAGACTTCCGCCGCTGACGCCTAGACTGACAACTCCGTCACCTTCATTACGTTGTCATCTTTGGTGAAAATGTAGCTATTTAGACACTTTCTATCTCGATACGTCCTGAATTTCGACTCGCTGTTCACCACGTTTTACGTCCCACGTGAGCCTGTTGGCTGCTGAAGACACAGAGGCAGAAGTGGTGGACGGAGCTGATAGAGAGCCCGCGGCAGATGCGGACGGCGACGGCCCAATAGATCTAGTCCGACCCAGTATGCATATGGTGTGCAACAGTCACAAGGATAGATGGAACACTTTGGTGTTCGAAACGCCACATCTTTGTGACTGTGGGCTGGGTGGTGTTCCGTATCATTCACTTCGTCTCTATATACATCAGTACTTCCGATGTCGTATCCGAGGACGGGGAGACGGCTCGTGCTTGGGGTGGCTCCAGCACTGT